TCAGCCCGGGTTCATTGCTGCTCCCAGGGGTGCACAGCGTGGCTTTTTTCGTAGCCAGGAGTTTTCCAGCTTAAGGAAATGGCCACCAGATCCAATCAACAGTACCTCCTCCTCCTCCTCCTCCTTTTCATCTTAATATTATTAAAGCAATCTTATTGGGGTGGAATAATCCATACTGTTCTCCCATTTCCTATCCAGGCAAAGCTAGCAGACCAGGAAAAAGAGGAGGTGTAACCTGCTTTCTGGCATTGCTAACTCACAATAGAGAACAAGCTAATGATGAATCTTGCTCTCTGTCCACTCATTACTGCATTGCAATCTAAATGCAATCAATCTTTGAAGTTCAAGCTGAGTTCCAAATAGACAGGCTTTGGACTCAAATCTCATACTATTTATTGAAATTGTTACTTTTTCACAAGGTAACTTGTCTGCAACTTGTTTTGCATGGTAATATTTTAGTACAGTGTGCACTCAAAATCACATTTATTTGAGGGGAGGGAGACTGAATGTAGCACAAAAGCAAACTGGAATAAAGTATTCCCCATGCTAAAACTGTGGTGTAGTAAAACTGTCCTAAGAAAAAGGTAAGTACATCAAAAAGAAAAATGATGATCAGGCCAATGAGTGGCTTAGGGGTGTAATTAAAACCTTGCAGGTGGAGATACAAACTAAAGAAATAGAAGCTCTTTTTTAAAAAAAATGTTTCAAAGCAACTTAGCTTTGAATGACTGTAAAATGTCTTTTTAAAATGTTCTGATAAATATTTCATTTGAGTGACATTACTCATTCTTTAGACACAAAAGTGTCATCTTTAAAAGTATGATAAATAGACCAAAATGTTTGGGATTAGTACAGGTGAGCAGTTCAACACAAATAAAATGATAATTTCTTGAAAACAACATTACTTTTTGTTGAAACCCAACACCATACCATTGGCTTAGCTCTTATAACTCACCCACAGCAGCTAACCCAAAGTTCCTCAAGGAGTTACAAAGGTTTAAATATCTCTATAAACATATACAAAAATAATTCCCACAGTGTCATATTCAGAGTTACGTTTGTTCAGCATATATTTGGCCTGGGTTTAATTGTCAATCCCAACTACATCTGTGCTGTTGTGCCAGCCTATGAAATCTGGGGATTTGTATGTTTACAAGATTTTTAGCCTTTCTGCTAAAGTGCTGGTGCCTCCCAAAACTGCAAGTTCTAGGATGCTGAAGGATGGAGCCATGGCAGTTAAAGTACTGTGAGATTGCATTATTTCTACAGCGGAGATGCGCCTTTAGATAAGTTCCATTCATTCACTGGATTTACTCTGATTGGGTTTAAGCATTGGATTTAGGCCTTTGTCAGATAAAATTAGGTATTTTCATGGTTGTATTTAACCTTTCAGTTCTAATTCCTTCCTAAAAGTCAGGGGAGGCTGGTGGCTTTGATGTCAGTGGTGTGGTGAATCCCATGCAGGCTTTAGTGCAAGCTCTATAAAGAACCTATCATTTAACGTTCTGGTGTGAGTCTGACTTCTCTCCCGCAAATACGTTCAGAATTTTGGATAGCCTCTTTGAATTTCAGAGTAAAATCCAGAGCAGATTTCCCATTCCACTGGCATGGAAGTCACCACTGATTGAAAGCCATTTTAAAATCCTCTTAAGCATAAGAGTCGGGGACATACAATAGCAGTTTGCATGGAGTTGCACTGGAAATCTTGGAAGTATAACCTCATAAAAGGAATCATGATCCAAATTGATTTTTTTAAAAAAAAACACAGCGATTTGGTTTAGGCTCATGATTTGGATGGTAAACATGGCAGCAAGTTAAGATGCTGAGATTCTCACCTTAGAAAACAAGGACAGGGTATGCTTTCTGCTGCTATACAATCTGTAGATAGATCTTTGAAAGTATTAGGTAGCTAGTATAATAGTTGAGAATGTGTATAAGGCTGCCTGCTGAATCCTTAGCTTTGCTTTTGAACACTGGAGGGAGCCATGGTCACCACTGAAAGAGCTCCAGCTTTCCCTTCAGTTACAAAAATCCCGCCACCTTCACTGAGAAGCATGAATCTTTTAGTAATGAATACAGTACACAAGATTAAGACATGAGAACCACAAAAGCAGCAGTTTCTAGGGCTACTTCCTCTTCTAGCTGAGGAGAGAGAAAGAAAAACTACTTCATGCACATAGATTTAAATATATGCAAATTTAAAAATTTCCCATTGGTTAGCATGGAGGCTAAATGAAGAAGAAAGAAGAAAATGGCAAAATTAAAAGAGTCAGAAAGATTTGAAATGTTACGGTAAAACCTATAGCAAAGTTGGGGGGGGGGAACTATCTGGAAGTAAAAATTATTGGAAAGACTGTATTCTATTACGTCACCCTGCCTGGGCTTTGAGATCTTCAGAGATCTTCCCTCTTAATCCTCCTACACGCACCAGCACTCTGCCGCTAACATGCCTGTTGGTAATACAAGGGAGGGACATTTTTGTGATGTGCCTTTCAATTTATTTTTAATTTTCATTCAATTGCATTTTAATCTTAGTATGTGTTTAAATCTATTTTAGTCAGAACTTGGAAAACGTGCTCTGGGACTGGGACAATAGCGCCTGAGATCCCATAGTTAACATGGCTCTACTTTTAATGTTATCATTTATATATATTGTATCTGCAGCTATTTTATAATCTTCTTATGAACTGTCTTGAATCCCAAGTTTTGGAGGGAAAGAATTAGCTCCTTTGCAACTAAGGAATCACAGACAAAACTGTTTTAAATGGGAAAGATCTGAATTCTAGCCTAATGTTGAAATGTCAAACTGTTTTAACTCCATTCCACAGGACATGCAATACAATCCCAAACCCATTTATTTTGAAGTCAGGCCATCTCATTTCAATGGGATTTACTCCTTGGTACTTTCATGTAGGATTGCAACCACAGGACCCCTAATGGAACAACCAGCTTTTCCCTTTCCCATGTTTTGTTTCTCTGTGCCATTCTTGTTATTTAAACTGTTGTTGTTTTCAGCTCCTAGGAAGAAACTGGAGTCTTTTAGAGAAGCCACCAGACTTCTGAATTTCCATAAATACCTTTACTAGCAAGGCCAAAGACATTATCACACTAGCCTTGTGGCAATTGCATCATGAAAGGAAACAGGAACATACCACTTTGAAAACATGTCTTATGCTTCTCTTCATCTTTACAACTGCACTACTTGGGGGAAAAAACAGGTCTGAAAACCTGGTGTATCAATGAGTTCTCAATCTCTCTATTATTGCACAGGTATTATGGTGTGAACAGACTCTTCACTTCCAGAATCACATCAGTCATGTACAGGATAGGGCTTGATTCATCTCCTCTCACCTCCTGCATCTTATTATTCAAAAGCAGGCTGACTTTGTCCCTGTCAGGTATTTGGGTTGTGTATTTTTTTAATCTTTGCTGTGTTTGCATACTTATGGCAAAACAACAAAATTAAAATTAAAATTAAAATATTTCAAAATTGTTTTTAATTATTTTTGCCAGCAAAATAAAAAATAAATAAATAAACCAATAGACATGAAGTTAGCCTGCTTTGGAATAGCAAGTGGGACACGGAGGAGAATCAGGCCTCCCTTGTAGCATCTCATGGCTGTAACGCTTGAACTGAAGTGAAGAGTCTTTTCACATCATAACAGCTGTGCTATAATAGCAAGATTGAAAGCACATTGACAGGTTTTGCGCATCAATGAAAAGTTGCACTACAATAATAGGATGGCAGCAAGATGGACACAATGTTGTCTGATAAAAACCAGCCAAGGACGCTTTTGTCCTGTTAAAATTCTGCTTTTTACCCCATGAGGTAAAGTCCCAAGTCTTTTTCCCACTTAAAGCCTTACAGAAGAGTCAAGTAACATTTCTGATGCTAAATGTTTGTTTTCCAAAGATTAAAGCCTTACAGAAGAATTAAGTAATATTTTTGATGTTAAATGTTTGTCTTCCATAGGTTTCACCATCTGCTGTCCTTTTAAGCAAAATTAACCCAGGAAGGCTCACTATGGATTCTAGGCTAGCATTCTCTGCGCCTGCATATCCTAATCCTAAAAGGTGGCTACCTTGTCACGATCAACCTCTGTATAGAAAGCTAAAATATATTTCGAAAGGTATTTAAAACTATACACCCTAGTTGGCACCCAGGAAAAAAACTGCCTTCCACATCACCATGCCATTTTTTGAAATGTCCTTGGTGATCCTCGACATCTGGCAATGATAACTGTGAGTTACCCTGTGCCTAATTGCCTTCTAACTCTTTTGTTTCCAGGGGGCACCATATGCTGTTGCACTCTTTCCTGAAAGCCTGCTTCATTATTGTGACAACCATTTTGCAGAAATGATATGCTTGGGTAGTACAGGCTAGTATCCCCAAACCAAAGGCTTTCTGAACAAAGCAAATTCTATCGGGCAAGAGGGAAGTCATACTGACCTCATAGTTATTCGGATAGCCCTCATTTGACATGGAGGGAGGCATCTGCTGCAGATTTAACATTCAGCCATGGTTCTGGCAAAACCGCTGCTTCTAATTTTCCCCCCCTTTCCTCCTCAGTGCAAATAAAGTTTTATGGCTACAGGCAGAAAGAATTCCTGCACCATCACTACCACTGTTTGACTTGCAAGCTAAATGAATCCACACAGGCAGAGAGGCACCAAAATGGGGAATATTTTTCCTCCAGCAACAAAACTCACTTGCTGTATTGAAGGAGCGTAAAGCAGAGAGAGACAAAGAAAGGAGAGAAAACAGCTGTGTTTCTAAGGTTCTAAACAGGAAAAGTAAAGATAAATGTGGATCGTCATCTCCCTCCTCCCCAGGCTGGGTGATAAATGTTTGTGATTGCTATGTGGTAGGGTCACAGGAAATTAGATTGTGTGCAGACAGGACTATCAGAGGAGAAAAACATCTACTACTGCTGCACATTTCTACCACCAAAGAAGAAAAGTATTTGTGTGTTATACAGCCTCAGATGCCAAAATAACTTGGCTAGCCTCATGGTGTGGTGGTTTGAACATTGGACTATGACTCTGGAAAACCGGGTTCGAATCCCTGTTTAGCCATGAAACCCGCTAGGTGATCTCGGGCAAGTCATATACTATCAGCCTCAGAAGACAGCAAACCCCCTCTGAAGAAACTTGCCAAGAAAACCTTGTGATAGGTTCTCCTTAGGGTTGCCATAAGTCAGAAACAATTTGAAGGCACACAACAACAAGAAGCCTTGGCTAGGTACTATGGATCCTAATTTAAGGGGAACACACTAAAAATATTTGAAGATGTTCTTCTCTTCCATGAGAAAGGTGCCTCAACTGATCAAGACACTTTGGAGATTATTGCATGCCAAATCCACAGGTTGTAACCATCACTGATGGATCTTATTGCACTTTCCCATGCCCGGGCAATAGGCAGCTTGTATCCAACCTGGGCTTCTCCAGCAGGTTTTCAAGTACAGGAAAATCCCATTCTTGAAAAGTTGCAGGAGAAACCCAGATTAGATACAGGTTGCCTACAGACCAGGCACAGGTCAGTGCAATAAGACTGTTACAACCTGCATCTATGCCAGCACAGATTTGGCATGAAATAATCTCCTTCATTTTAAAAAAATAACTCAACAATCATGATGAATTTTTCATTCTGCATGAGAGGAAAATATCAGCAGTTCTTTTTGTCAGCAGCAATTAAATAAAGTATTTTTGCATGAAATACAAAAATACATCATGTATTTTTGCATGAAATACAATGATTTTGCTTCCAAAATAATTGAGGCTGGCACCACTTTAACTGCCTCAATGGAATGGAATTCTGGGAAAAGTAGTTTTGTGAGACATTTAGCCCTCTCTGTCAAAGAGCTCTGGTGTCACAACAAAAAATAGTTCCCAGAATTCCATAGCACTGAGCCATGGCAGTTAAAGTGGTGTCAAACTGGATTATTTCTGCAGTGCCAGTGCAGCCTAAGGGAAAATAATGTATAAAAAGATGTTCTATCTGGGAAAGCTACTGGGGGGGGGGGGAAGTACTTATATTACGTGAAAGTGTACAGAAATGTATGACACATGGAAAAGTGTCCAAATTTTCTGCATATTTCAAAAGAAAACAAATGGTGGTTGTTGTTATGTGTCTCTAAGTTGTGTTTTTAGTTATCATAGGGTTTTCATTGGAGGTTTCTTCAGAGGGGTTTTTTGCCATTGCCATCCTCTAAGGCTGAGAGAGTGTGACTTGCCCA